GTTTTGGACTCGGCCAAAATCGCTTAGGCGGTTACAGCGCCAATTAATAAGAAGAAGAATACCCAGCATTGTCATTAAAATTTTAGTCATTTAATGCTTAGTGGAAATTCATAATTAACCCTACTTAAGGAAATGCTTAAATTTTTTTTATTTGTTTTTATCACAAATGAGAAAATATTAACCCGTTATTCTTAAAAGTGTATAATATGTGGATTTTTTGCAATACGGACGCTTTACAGTTTTTTTTTTTTGTTTTCGCTAACTCTATATTTACGCTTTTTAGAAGAGTGTTGCTGCAAAACTGCATACGTACTCAAATTTTTTTCTAAAAAGACTAATTAAGGAGTGCAAAATTTTTATGAAAATTTCCATAAAGTTTGGAATTCCGATTTTTTGGGCTTTCGTTGTAGTATTAGCCATAATTTTATATAGAGTTATTTCCAAGAGGCTTCTTTGAGGAACCGTTTAGACGGAGGAGAAAGAGAGGCAGGCCATTGAATTCTTTGGTCTTTGCTCTCTCAAGTTAGAAAGAAGGCTTGACACATCCAGCCCCATTATGTTATTGTACCAGCTACAATTCGAATTTCTTCAAAATTTTATAGGTTTTCTGAGGGAAAATCGAATGTCGATTCTCGAATTTTTTGAATCGATTCAATCGAAAATCGAATCGGAACTAAAAAATCGACAAAAAATCGAATCGGAAGTGCTCGATTAATCGATCTTCGATTCAATCGATTTAAAAACGGCCTCTCTACTGATAATCGGTACAGTTATGAAATGTTTGTACGACATAGAAGAACAAGTAGCGGTAATTTCTGTATACTTAACTCAACTTTTAATTTTTTTGATTATGACACTCTTGCAGCTAAATAATGTGCGATATCTACATAGATATGTATCTATTTACATATGTACATATCAGTGAAGTTAGGTATATATGTACATAAATGATAACTCCAATTCACTTTTGGGGCATTCCATTGTGTCTGGTGGTACATTTTACTCCATTTAAACTTGTGACTGCTGTAAAGTAATTATGCATGAAATAAAAGTTTCCGTAGACAAAAATTACAACTTCTTATTATTTTTTTTTTAATTTTTCAGCAGGTTAATAAAATGAAGTCATTTTAAATTTATGTCGTTATCTTCTTTTACATGAAATGACCCTTTTGTGAAAAGTGCAGTTGTATTTTCAGTGAAGTATATACCACTACGGGCAATCCATTATTGGTAGCCTTCAAGTAGGTTTTAGATTGTTGTGAAATGTGATAACAATTTCCATCTATTAAGAGTGTAAGCACGGATTTAGTTTTAATAGTTTAATTTATGTAATCGACAAAACCAAAAATAGCAAAAATGGAGTTAGAATTGCCGGTCGCCACAGATAAGGACTTTTGCAATAGGCTTATAATTATTAGGCACAAATCTCCAGAGTCCTCATTCAAATCTTTTCCGGCTAAACATTCGTCTCAACGTCGCGATGCGGCAATTACCATCAATTCATACGTCCACATACATACGTACATAAATATATATAAATAGGCCCAGTTCGAATGTTGTCGTCGCTTAAAGTGTGTTTTGGAACAATTTCTTTTACAAATTTCCACATTTCAATGAGCACTTTTTGGGCTTCCTTCCGCTGCAAATTACGAGTGCATTTGCCACAGAAACAGCTTAAGTCTTCGTGTTCGAAATTAGAATGCCAGCACTGGTCATTTAGTCGATCAGTAATTTTTCAACTGTGCAGACGTCAAATAGCCTAACTAACTGCAGCGGTTAATAAAAGTTACCAGTGATTTGATTTTGTGTCCTATTTAATTGAATAAAATTGGAAAACTTGGTTTTCAGTCGTAGATCTTACCATTTTGCAGGGTTTTCATATCGATTTGAAAGCTAAAACTTTATCTACGGTGCCCCATCAGTGAATTTCGAACGAAAATGGATCCGAATGCCAATGAGGCGGACTTAAGTGTAAGCCCTTACGTAATACGTGATAAATCCCAGAACTAAAAAGTTTTTTTGCATCACGACGAGCAATTAATATGAAGTTAACAATTGAACTTTGGAGACCAGTCACTGCATTCACTAAAATTTGTATAATATTTATATACATTTTAAGCCAGTTTCTACTTGAGTAGCTTTGCGCTATCTGGGCTTCAAATAGCAAAGATCCAAATTGCTATTGCAGCAGTATTGATTTTTATAAATGCAGCTGTATTTATGTGGTACCACAGCCGAAGCAACGATTTTCTTGTCTCACTTTGGGAAAATGTTCCGCAGTGACCGCTTTTCGGCCATAGCACAAAAGTCGTATTTTGCCACTTTGTGCTGTGCGAAATTTTTAAAACATTAAAGCTATATTGACACGTACGTACGGCTGCGGTTAACGTGATTATTTAAGCGGCTTAAATAGTTTGCTGTAAAATTTTCAAACGCACAAGATTTGACGGGTACTTTGTACATATGTATGTGCATTTACAAATTCAAGGCCAGTGTCAAACGTGAATGAACTCGATGCAGCTTATTGAGACTAATGTTAGCTTAACAGCTTTCCTTCTTTAACTACTACTGTTTGGATTCTTATTGCAGATCGCTGACAAGGAAGGCAATATTCGACAATTTTCAGAAAGCACGCCTGACCTCAGCTCTTGCAACATTGACCCGAACTTTAATGTGGAAAATCAAAGTACTTCCTCCGGAAGTTCAGTGGAACCAAGAAGCGATTTTAGCTACACTGATACCGAAAAATCACCAAAAGTAAGATTTTATTTAACTTTATAGGCGTCAAATTTTAATTGTATCTTTTTGCCTAATTTTTCAGATCAACAAAGGTAGAAAACTAAGCTTAAGTCTTTCTAGTAAATAATGCAACGACATTGACTTATCTAATTTCAGTTCCTGGCCGCGAGTCAGTTTTAAGCGATTACATCGCCGCCCACACTGTGCCGCTACCTGATTTATCAGCGGCAGTTACTGAATCGGAGGATGATGGTAACTGAGGGCATAGAAATGCAAAAGGCACTCATTTAAAGTATTTTCTTTTCAGTAGATCATGCCTCTATATCTTCAAGCATACTTGCTGAGGGTACTTGGGAGGATAACTGGCTTTTTAAGAAAAAGCGATCATCGTTAACGGCCTCCATTACTGGAAGTGTCGGAATGTTAGTGCCTGCACCGAAAGACGATGTACGTGCTCAAATCGGCGATAAGACCACCGATGAAATTAGTGACCTCTCCGAAATGGGCTCAGATACAGATGACTCGTCATCGAAAATAATTTGTGCCAAGATAGATCCACTTAACGACCGCATACTGAATAAGCATTTGATTGGTGGCCAGAATACGAAAGTGGTTTTAGATGAATTGATTGAAACAGCCAGCATGATTTCGAATACATCACACTCAACACTCAATGAGCCAAAGTATACCGAAACCAGAAACGAACACGTTCTAGAAGCAGCGTCGAAAGTGGAAGCCCTTAATCCCAGTATTGCCAACAGCTCAGCTCAGGAAACTATGTTAGGTTATTCGGAAATCGAGCGGAAACAAAATCCATCACCAGGTAAGCGGAAATTGAATCCAAATTAGGTCATCGGCATACATTCCACCAATATCCTATTGATTCTAATACATACATATATATTACCTACATAAGTAAATAAATACATTTTACCCCCCACATGGTCGTTCACATAAACACAGCAGCTGTAGTGTAAATACTATGAACTTCATACCTACGCATTATCTATGTATGTACATATGTATGTAAGCTTGAATTCAGCAATTTATGCTAAACCGCTAAACAAATATACTCGCATGTAGTATATCAGGTAATATCATAACGCCATTTACCCTTTCCGGAAGTCTCTATTGCAAGATACTTTGCATGATCTTTGTCTGACGACACTCAGTACGTCGTTTGTGTTTACAGCTCCTTCTGAATCAAGTGAAGACTTTCAATACGAAGAAGGCTGTACCGGATTTAGTACAGTCGAAACTTTTGAACCAACCCCCTCCTCAGAGCACGAGCCTCGACCAATCAGCCAGGGTCCATCCGTCATTGAAATTCTTGCAGCTATGACTTTAAGTCCCATGTTGGCTGTGCCTGCTTCAGAGCAGCCACCAATTCTGACAGCTGCCGAATTGAGCTCTCTGAGGGAATTAAGTGATTTGGCTTTGGCTGAAATAAAAGCACGCACGCCTGAAATGGGACATCATTCTCTAGATATCATAGATGAAGAAGAAGAAACGAAAGTTATAATCCTAGCAGAAAATAATAAACCTGATACTGACGAAAATAAGTCTGTGAATGTAAGCATCGTTAAGGGAAGTGAAACACCAACGACAGCCACGAAGCCGCTTCTAAACAAATCCGAACTCGTCCACAATATTGTTATAGAAGAGGCTCGAAAGCAGGACCTGCAACTACTTACAGCGGATGATGAGGCATATAAGTTAAAGGCCATGGCGGTAGCGGAACCGCGACCAATTGATAGCGTGCATCAAGAAATTGAAGCAGATCCAAAATCGCCAGAATTATTACCAACAGCTGAGAAACCGACCACCACATTGCTATCACAACTAGCTGTAAATGCTCTCAAACTATCTGAACCCTCTCGGTCTTTAGATGGCGAGCGAGCGCCGAAAATGAATGCCGAATCTACAGATACAGCCTCAATCGCCGGAAAGCAAGAGCTTGTCGATTCGGAAACTGCAGTCGGTGAAACAGTCCCAGCTAATCCCATCAAAATAATTGATATAGATACCAAAGCAGTGATGGAAGGAGCGATTTCTTTAAAACCCACACAAAACGATAACCCTAAACAGAAAGAAGAAGAACTATTTAAAGAACCCTTAAACATTGAAGATAAGTCTTCTGTAACCGTTATATCAGAAGAGCTAATAACTTCAAAAACACCACAGAACTGTGAAACAGAACTATCAGCAGAAGTCCAGCATTTCAGATCAGGAGTAGTTACGGTAATACATAAACAAGAAAACCTCGAATTCGACAATATAGTGAACAAATCGATGGCCTCTGCAACACTTCAGATGCACGAAGCAGTGGTAGCTCTACAAGATGGGCAGGTGGAGAAGATGGTTCCGGATTTTGAAAGAAACACGACAATAGGCGATGCTGACTCAATTGTGGAAGGCACTGCCTCCTTACAAATACCGCACCCTTTAGAAATAAAAGCAGAGAACGTAGATGGTTTCAAGGCAGGTCTATTAGACTCAGCTTATGTGACCGAAATGGTGATAACTTCCGTTGCAGCAGAAAGTCCAGAAATTGTTGGTATAGAAAAAGCGACGGATTTAGTAGACACATCACTAATGATTGCACAAGATATAGCACAAAATGTTCAAGCCAAAGGAAATTCCCAAACACCTACAACAAACCCGTTAGAAATTTTACAGATTAACAAGACCGATGGACAAAAAGAAGGCTCTTCTCAACTTTCGTTACTTGAAACCAGTTCCAATCCTAAGCCTGATTTGGTAGCAGAAGCTTCGATTAATTTTGCCGCAACGCAGGTAGATGGAATCCATCAGACCATCGAAACATCTCAGCCGGAAATTTGTACTGAATCTAAAAAAGACAGCTGTGTTTCTGAGGGTGTCGAAATAAAGTATGCGTTGAATACTGAGGCACCCTTAGCAGCAATACAAACTCAAGGCACAGAGACAGTAACATCTGTAGGTACGGATATATCGTCGGATACCATCCCGTTTGCCAAAGAGTCAAAACCTTTAGTTCCAGACATCAGTGAAATCATCTCGCCATATTATACCACTCAAGATATACCTATCGAACCAGACGAGACGAGAGAGACTGTCATGAATTCGGAATCAAAAAATTTGCAATTTACCGAAGTACGCCCAGTACCAGTTGTTAATGAAGAAATACTACCCAAAATGGAGCAGGTCGACGAAGTAATTCCAGTCCCAGTCACTGATTCTGAAATTACGTCAAAAAAAATCGCTCAAAACTTATCCGAAGAGAAACTACCACTGGCAATAAACGTAGAGTCAGTACCACTTGCTGAGCCGGACATACTGCCCGAAACATCTGTTCAAGAATTACCCTCTGCGCTGTTGGAGCTATATCAACCCAACGAGCTAGAACAAGTATCAGTCATCGACGAGGTCAAAACGTCTGGGCAAAAAATTCAAAAAGTCCCTACGGAATCACAACCTATAACAACAACTGATG